TGTGTGAGTGTGCTTGTGGGTGTGTGCATGCCTGTGTGGGTGTAAATGATAATTTTAATATTAAATCAATATTAATTTTATTACTAATATGGCATTTTATTTGTGTGTATGTATACTCCTTTTTCAGCACCTTTATCATTAGCTTTAGATTGGAACATTTTAAAAATATTTTCCCCCCCCCTCATGTGCTGTTTGTCATTAGTAAACTAATCTAGATCTAGATCATGTTGTAGGGACATTGGTATTATTTTTTATAAAAGATTTTTTTTTTTTAATTTAGATTTTTGTTGATCCTGACACTGAGCTGTTGTGTGTAGATATATCTAGCTGCCAGACTGTGCCTTGATAGAATTTTGTCGTTGTTGTTTTATGTTTGTTTGTTACATGCTCATACTCATTGTCGCTGTCCCTAGCAATCCACTTTTGTCCTAATTTGGAGAAGTTTCAACTTTCCCACCGTCCCAAAAGCTCTATCAAAGATTCCTCTTTTAGCATCACCAAAGTGTCGTTTAATCTTGTGGTTACGGTGTACAACTTCCATGCTTTTCATGATCCTGATAGGAACAATTAAAAACCACTAGTTTTTTTGTCTCTGGTATAAGAAGTAGCCAGACGGACAGACAGTGGATTGCTTGGGACACGGCGACATTTACTTTGCTTTAATTTTCTTCTCCGTTACACTGCTTGATTCTGCGGGTGGTTGGTGGGTGGTTGGTGGGTGGTTGGTGGGTGGGCCCCACTGGTCAGTCCTGCTTCTTTACATCCCTCTTGTGTCTCAGTCTGTCTCGCACTTTCTGTTTTCTGCTTCCCTTGTCTCTATCAAACAAAACGTTCAAACAAAGTGTAATGGATGTGCACGTGGGTGGAGGATGCCACTGGCCGGGGCTACTTTTTTAGTTTCCCTGGTTTTTTCCTATTTCTCCTTTTTTGGGAGGTATCCGCCTCGCTCCCCCCCCCCCTTTTTTTTTGGCGAATGTTGTTTTTAATCAACAACAAATGAGTTGTGTGCACAACAGTGGGTTCGCCTGTCGTCCCTTTCGCTTTACTCCCCCATACTTCTAAAAAAAAGTGCGGGATCGTCAAATAAGGGCTGCCCTGAAATGTCCTTGGCCTTCATTCACCTTGCTCGATCCCATCGTGTACATAGTCGTATTGTTGGGTGTTGTCTGGCATCGTTTTAGAACATTTGTTGTTTTTGTTAATTACGTAAGGTCCAATCTTATCAAAGAGAAGCCGGACTGGAACAGCTTTCATTTTCTGATAAGATTTTTGTAATAG